TGAATGTTGCCAGGGATGGGGCCTCCACCACCTCTCTGGGCAACCTGTGCCAGTGCTTCACCGCCCTCATTGTAAAAAACTTCTTTCTAATGTCTAGTCTAAATCTATTCTTCTTTAGTTTAAATCCATTATTCCTTGCCCTGTCACAACAGGCCTTGCTAAAAAGATTCTCCCCATCTTTCCTGTAGGCCCCCTTTAAGTATTGGAAGGTCACAATAAGGTCTCCCCGCAGCCTTCTCTTCTCCAGGCTGAACAATCCCAACTCATTTGGCACAGTAACTGTGCATTAGTTTATAATGTCTGTGACAGTATCTTGGTTATCTTTGTTTAAAACACCTACCCAAACTTTGAGAAAACACAAAGTTTTTATTACCACAGAAAATTTCAGGCCCCAAGAAGTGAATCCTTTTTCCTCTCCATTGTGGGAATGCAGAGATTTTGACAGAGATCTTCTTCCTTTTTCCAAGAAACCAAGAAGACAGAAAAAAAAGCACCAGAGCTATAACATATTCAGCATTCTTAGAAACAGCCCAAACATTGTATTTGAAATTATTCCAGTTCCAGTAAGTTTGTGACAGCTCAAAATTCTTGGACAGAACAATTTCCATGAATCAGACAGGTCCCCATCCAAGCAGCCACACTTCCAGGAGTTTCCAACTGCTGGAAAACTTACCTATCTTGACTGGGCTGTTGTGTTAAAAAGCAACAGGCAAAGAACGCAACCAAGGGGTGGGGAAGAAAAACCCTTTGCCATAGTGTTTCCCTCATCTATAGACTGACCTGTGAAAAACACCCACTTACATTTTATTTTGACAACCGTGTTGCAAATCCAAAAGGAAGTTCTGTCCCATAACAAAAGAAGTAAAAAAAAAAACCAAAAACCAATGCAACCAGCATGTAATAAGAATTTTATTGAATACATTTAGAAAAAAACTAGAGCATGAAGACATGAGATTAATTTCTGCATATAAGTTTTATGAATGTGCAGAATCAAACAACCATGCAAAAAGATATCTCCCCCCTTCAACTGTAATTCAAGACTCTTATAATGGCAAAATTATTACCACCTTAAAACAGTGTTCCAGACACGTAACTCGTTACTTTAAAAAGGATCTCGTTCCTGAACGGAGATAAAAAAATTTTAGTAGCAATAGGGAAAAACCAATGATTAACAGGTACAGTATTTAACCAGTACTCATGCCATGTTTAAAGAATGCAAGCAAAAAATGCCTCGTTCCATAGAATAAGTAGGGTTTTTTTTCAATGCAAAATTCCTAGTCAAACTAGTTCCTAAACTACTGAAATGGTGACTTGATAATGTACATGTTCCAGAGGATCATCCAATGGAAGATTTTTTTTTGTTGAGTTACATCAGTGCCACATAAAACGTAAGTCAGAGTAGCTGAACAGTGCTTAACAGTATATTAACATTAAATTCCAACTCCTCCAAGAAATGTTGCTACAGATACAGTATGTAACGTTAGGTAGGAAAATGGGCTTATACATGAGGGAAAAGATTAAGATTTCTGTCACAAACTTGTATACCCGCAATTTTTCATATTAAAAGGGGATTGTGAAGGAAAAGTTTTATATGCGCTGGGACAGTCAGGTCTGAGACATGCAGTACACTGTCTATGTGTGTAACATGTAAACCTGTACTGAAACACGCTGCAACTTTTAAAAGACTCATTAATTATAAAAATATAGCTAGACTGTTCAAGTTAACCAATTGTTAAGCACAGCACAACTTCTGAAAACATGAAAAAAAGGCTGAATTTAACAGCAGGTATTCCAGTACATACTTGTTTGCAATTTAGTTTCACTATTATTAGACAGGTGAAAGCCTATGGTATCAAAGATCACTTAGGTTAGTTTTCAAATCTTGATTTTGAGGAAGTATTGTGATCGGTTTGGTACACTACAGCTGGTTTCATCTTCTCTCCACATTTACTAATAAAAGTTACAGCCAAACCAATGTCCCATTGAAGTGTCAGGTACCACTATCCACATCACGATGTTATTTCATGAAATACCAGGATCAAACATTGGTGTGTTGAAGCCTGTACTGAGCAACTGCTCAAAACACTCAAATTCAGTAAGTGATACAGCTTTTGCAGCTTGATGATGGATGCAGACATATGGTTATAAAAAGCTGCTATGAATTAATGCAGTTAAACAAGAGGCTTATGGCAGCCTACACCATCTGAAAGTTTATCTTTTTTGAAAAACATCACAGGCTATAGAAAACTAGGCTATTATTTGTAAAACCTACACTGTCTTGCTTGATTAAAGCTGGTTTTTATTTTTGTTTGCTTACTTTTTTAAGCAGGCGAATTTTAAAAGTGGTTTTATTGCCACCGATGAGGAAAGTCATTACAGAACTCGTGAATTATCTTTAGTTCTGTGCTGAAAGTATGCACAACAGAAAAAGAGCAGGAGAAATGAATAAAAAGCAAAAGCAAAACTGAGGACCATGTTTACAGCAGCTTTCTTCTACTTATGGCCGCATTGACTCAGCTACCAGCAGAACGTAGTTTGAAAGAGTACAACAAGTAGTTATGGGGCCCCAAAGCCTGCAGCACTAACAGCAGAAGGTCCATTCATCCACGTTTCTCTCCATTTAGTGTTTAGTATACTAAGGGAGAATGTGGCTTGCTTAAAAACAGAAATTCCGTTTTCCCAAGAAATTCCATTTCCCTTGTAGTTCTTTAAAATAAATTTTACATGATGTAAACCTACTGCATGTGAGGATGCAAATAAATTGAAAATATGTTTAAAAAAAAAAGTGGAAAAGTTAGGGTATTTATATACCCATACGGATAGACACATGTTTGAACTTGCTTGTTAAATAAGAACTTTACCCTGGCATTTAAACACTGCTCATTTTGCTGTCCAAGTTCAGAGTTCTGCATACAAAAACACACATGGCACGCTAGTAGCTACAGCTACCTAGAATTTTTCATCCACTGAAGTGATTGTTCTCAGTACGATACTAGTGAGAGCTCCACTTATTGGTTCAGAATGCATCAGGGAACATCTGTTCAATTTTTAGAGGACCATTTGCAGGCATACATTTTTGTAAGCTTGCACCTTATCACTTCACAGCACCTGACATTTTCAAATTTATTAAAAAGACAAAAAAAAAAGCAGCATTATTAGAATCTTTCAGACAGAACTTAAGCTGGAACTTTTAATAGGGGCCGAAGGCAGTAAGCGACCCCACTCCCTACAAGTCAGTGAGGAAACGGGATCTTGAAATGAAGGTAAAGAAGCACCAAAACAAATTCCATATATCCAGCACTGGTGTTACTTTCTTGGTGTTTGGGGGTGGTTTCTTTGGTAATATATTTCCTACTGCTTTAAGCACAAAGTAGGATTTCAAGTACTGCTAGAGACAGAAGTCTGATCTCAAGTCAAATGACACCTGTTGGAAAACAGTGAGATTCTTAGAAATCTGTATTTAACTTCAGAATGCCTTTACTACGTTCCGTGTTTCTCCTGGCATTATTCCAAGCTGCCAAGGTAGGTAGATGAGCACGCACACACACATTTCAACAGTCCACAGGACTGCTTGTTTACGTATATAAGGTTTGGCACAATAAATAATGGTGTACATTTTGCATGATATATGTGAAAACATTGTTCTTCTTTCAGCTGCAAGCCAAAATTAAGAAACTATTTCAAGCAGAAAGAGAAAGCAACATTACTGCATGTGTTGCTGATTGGATAAAAGCCTCATCCTTAAAACTATCCTGTTTTCAGCCACAAATCTTTACTGATGGAGAACTGACAACAAAAATGAGGTCTCGATTTTTAATTACACTGCTTTGCTTATGCTGTTCAAAAGAAATAATAAGTTTAAAGCGTTTTAATTCAAAGGTACAATTATGATTTGAGACAGACAATTTAAAGCTTGTTGTTTGGTTCTGCTAAGATCTGTCCTGTAGATAAATTTAGTTCTTTGATTACCATCCTCAGAAACAAGACCTATGCATATCTACATGCAAATAATTTTCCTGAGAAACCTACAGTGTGTACTGGCGTCTGCTACTACACATATCCACCTACTCGCGGAGGAAAAAAAAATCATGATTTTGAATGTTGTAGAATAGGACAGAATATACATTCTAAAGACTGTCAAATATATACAGCACCTTGGTAATTTTACAATAGTCTGCTGTTTGCGTATTCTCCACAGTTGAGATGCTAAGTTATTCAGCCAGGTCACTGACCATTCACTTTTATATATAACAAATCAAACACTAAAGGTACAGGAGTAAGAAAATTCCCCTCTTGCCAACTTAGTTTTTACTTTAATCTGAACTCCTGCTTTTATACATGAAAGGCAGCAAAAAAGTCAGCAAGTACTGAAATCCTTAGCAAAATACCTTTTATTCCATCCCTCCACAGCCAACAGGTATTGAAACAATCCTTAGTTTCAGAAGACAAAAATGCAAGTCTACAAGTGTTCTTTCATCTTTATGTTTATGTACCTTTTTATTCTAGACCTAGAATGGCATGTTTATGACTTCATAAACTCAGATTTTTGTATCTGTATTACCGTATGCTTCATAACGAACGGTGCTCAATTTAACATGTGCTACCCAGCAGATCCAGTCTAAACCGAACACTTGAAAAATTAACACACATGGTAGACTGAGAACACATCTATTGGCCAGTCAGTGCATGGTAGGTAAGGTTGTAAGCAAAGGGCAATAGCTCTTTTACTCTAAATTCCATGGAGACACTCCAACTAGAATAAATACACTCATGGGAGGAAGAGCAAAAATAGCTGTTACCCTGCAAGCTTACACCCCCATTTACTGTGCATCAAATTTCTTTGTAGAATGGAACATATGATCTAGCATTAAAAAAAAAAATCTATATAAAAGTTAAATATTTGATTACAGTAGCAAGTCACCACTTCATAATGCAAAATAGCTTGTCTTTTGGAATCATTATTGATCTGAATTCTCTTTTTTTTGTTGTGCATTGGATACTGGTAATTCAAGACTTGCCCATAATAGGGGCTCTGCTTTTCTCATAGTAAGCTCAATCTTCGTAGCCGTCATGTTCACGTAACTCCTCTTTACATCAATTACCTAGAACAGAAAACATATTTCACGCTTCAGTTTAAGAAACAGACTGCTAGATATTTGGGAATTAAGTTAGGAAGAGTACCTTATCACTAAATTTCAGTAGATGTTTAGGTAGATGGAGTTCCCTCTGTTACCTGGAAAAGTCAACCCTCTCCCATTCCCAAGCCATAAACATACGCCTGCGTATATATAACATATACATTGGTCTAACACATACATAAGCATGCAATTACATAGCGTCAAGGGTTTCTGTAATACCACTATGACGGTGTTGGGATCTTAGGACAAATCAGGACAGAAAGGACCTCAGAAGGTCACCTTCTGCTCAAAGTGCCATCAGCTATGATGTTATACCTGATCACTTGGGGCATTAGATTCAGATTTAAACGTAGATTACTGAATGACATACAACTGAATTTCTTTCAATAAGCAGAGTAATGAGGAAAACCGAACTGTTTTGAGAGAGAGGAAGCTGAGGGTTTGTGTTTTGTTGTATTTTGGTTCTTTTTTTAAAATAGAAAAATTGTACTTACTCCCCATAATTTCACACTGCGATGAAATTCCTTTTCTCCTTCAAATACAATATGGATATTTAACTTAAGAGGAAAAACAACAGAACATTTTGTCAGGCTAATAAAACATAGACAAGTATGTTTAATAACATTGGAACTCAGATTCTACAGTAAGAAAAGTGATCAAATTGTCCCTCAGACACAGAAGTGAAGATCTATTCTAATAGATTCTGTTACAGTATCATAGTCAACAGTAGCCATATATATACATCCTGGAAGATGTATCATTTTCTTCAAATGTGCGATTAAGACATCACAGAAGCATTTTAACACTTGTTTAGTATTAGTAGCTGTGAAACTGCATACCGTGAAGAATTATATTAAATTACATTAAGCCAAATACAATGAAATTATGAATCTATAATCATTTACACATATGGTGATGCAAATCCATCACACTTGGATTTTAATTGTGGAAGTCAAATTCAAGGTTTTTTTGACATACTATATTGCAGGTTTAAAAAAAAAAAACCAACCCAACACATTGAAGTACAGATTTCCAAACAGAAGAGGAAAAAAAGCTATACGAACTTGAACAAACACAAATGCCAAGAAAAAGCTGTTACTCAAAAAAGATTCTTATGGTATCCTACCTCTCCCTTGCAAATAAAGCAGAAGCCAGATTTACCTAACTTCAAGCTGCTGTAAGAATTAAAAGAAGAATTACATCTTAAAGTAGACACTCACCATTGTGCTATTTGCTTCTACATAGCTCAGATCAGGAACAGAGTTTTTAGCATATACAGAAATAGTCACTTCTCCTCCAGTCTGGTGCCAATCATGCCTGCATGGAACTACTTTCTTTC